ATAATCATCCCAGGGGAACAGGAGCCACAGGACTTATCCATACGTTGTCACAATCATCCCGGGGGAACAGGAGCCACAGGACTTATCCATCCGTCGTCACAATCATCCCAGGGGAAACAGGAGCCACAGGACTTATCCATACGTTGTCACAATCATCCCGGGGAACAGGAGCCACAGGACTTATCCATGCGTCGTCACAATCATCCGGGGGAATAGGAGCCACAGGACTTATCCATGCGTCGTCACAATCATCCCGGGGGGAACAGGAGCCACAGGACTTATCCATGTGTCGTCACAATCATCCCAGGGGGAATTGGAGCCACAGGACTCATCCATGCGTCGTCATAATCATCCCAGGGGGAGGAGCACAGGACTTATCCATACGTTCACAATCATCCCAGGGGAACAGGAGCCACAGGACTTATCCATGCGTCGTCACAATCATCCCAGGAGCCAAAGGACTTTATCCATGCGTCGTCACAATCATCCCAGGGGGAGCCACAGGACTTATCCATGCGTCGTCGTCATGAGGGAACAGGAGCACAGACTTATCCATCGTCGTCACAATCAAACAGGAGCCACAGGACTTATCCATACGTCGTCACAATCATCCCAGGGGGAACAGGAGCCACAGGACTTATCCATGTGTCGTCACAATCATCCCAGGGGGAACAGGAGCCACAGGACTTATCCATGCGTCGTCACAATCATCCCAGGGGGAATAGAGCCACAGGACTTATCCATACGTCGTCACAATCATCCCGGGGGAACAGGAGCCACAGGACTTATCCATGCGTCGTCACAATCATCCCGGGGGAACAGGAGCCATAGGACTTATCCATGTGTCGTCACATCATCCCGGGGGGAACAGGAGCCACAGGACTTATCCATGCGTCGTCACAATCATCCCAGGGGAATAGGAGCCACAGGACTTACCATACGTCGTCACAATCATCCCAGGGGAACAGGAGCCACAGGACTTATCCATGTGTCGTCACAATCATCCCAGGGGGAACAGGAGCCACAGGACTTATCCATGCGTCGTCACAATCATCCCAGGGGGAATAGGCCACAGGACTTATCCATACGTCGTCACAATCATCCCAGGGGGAACAGGAGCCACAGGACTTATCCATACGTCGTCACAATCATCCCAGGGGAAATAGGAGCCACAGGACTTATCCATACGTGTCACAATCATCCCAGGGGAACAGGAGCCACAGGACTTATCCATGTGTCGTCACAATCATCCCGGGGGAACAGGAGCCACAGGACTTATCCATGTGTCGTCACAATCATCCCAGGGGGAATAGGAGCCACAGGACTTATCCATACGTTGTCACAATCATCCCAGGGGGAACAGGAGCCACAGGACTTATCCATGCGTCGTCACAATCATCCCAGGGGGAACAGGAGCCATAGGACTTATCCATCGTCGCAGTCATCCCGGGGGGAACAGGAGCCACAGGACTTATCCATGCGTCGTCACAATCATCCCAGGGGGAACAGGAGCCACAGGACTTATCCATACGTCGTCACAATCATCCCAGGGGGAACAGGAGCCACAGGACTTATCCATGCGTCGTCACAATCATCCCAGGGGGAATAGTGCCACAGGACTTATCCATACGTTGTCACAATCATCCCAGGGGGAACAGGAGCCACAGGACTTATCCATACGTCGTCACAATCATCCCAGGGGGAACAGGAGCCACAGGACTATCCATACGTCGTCACAATCATCCCAGGGGAATAGGAGCCACAGGACTTATCCATACGTTGTCACAATCATCCCAGGGGGAACAGGAGCCACAGGACTTATCCATGTGTCGTCACAATCATCCGGGGGGAACAGGAGCCACAGGACTTATCCATGTGTCGTCACAATCATCCCAGGGGGAATAGGAGCCACAGGACTTATCCATACGTTGTCACAATCATCCCAGGGGAACAGGAGCCACAGGACTTAGCCATGCGTCGTCACAATCATCCCGGGGAACAGGAGCCACAGGACTTATCCATGTGTCGTCACAATCATCCCAGGGGGAACAGGAGCCACAGGACTTATCCATGTGTCGTCACAATCATCCCAGGGGAAACAGGAGCCACAGGACTTTATCCATGTGTTCGTCACAATCATCCCGGGGGGAACAGGAGCCACAGGACTTATCCATGCGTCGTCACAATCATCCCAGGGGAATACGAGCCACAGGACTTATCCATACGTTGTCACAATCATCCCAGAGGAACAGGAGCCAAAGGACTTATCCATGTGTCGTCACAATCATCCCGGGGGAATAGGAGCCACAGGACTTATCCATACGTCGTCACAATCATCCCAGGGGGATAGGAGCCACAGGACTTTATCCATACGTCGTCACAATCATCCCAGGGGGAACAGGAGCCACAGGACTTATCCATACGTCGTCACAATCATCCCAGGGGGAACAGGAGCCACAGGACTTATCCATGTGTCGTCACAATCATCCCAGGGGAACAG